AATTGCGACTAGCGATTTGGTCGCTTCTGGGAGTAGAAGTATCGGCGACTAATAAATTCTAAACAAATTATATGAAAGGACGATTCTTGATCCGAGTTTCGCACATTAAAAAGAAAAGAAAACAAATATGAGCTTCCATAACTCATTGGATTGGGTTAGTAGTAGTTTCGCACGATTTTCCTTCGCACGAATGTGCGAAACGTCCCCTTTCAAAAAAAATTTTTTTTAGTAGGCGTTTCGCCCGGATTTATCAAAAGTATTAAAAACGGGTGCGAATCGACCCCTTTGAGAACTAGTAATCGCATACTAATAGTTCAAAAAAGAGTCGATTCGCACGCGATTTTAATACTTTTATTACATCCGGGCGAAACGCCTACTAAAAAAAAATATTTTTGAAAGGGGACGTTTCGCACATTCGTGCAAAGGATAATCGTGCGAAACTACTACTAACCCATTGGAGGGTTTTCTGTATCGAATCTTGCAGGTTCGTGTCTTTATCAATAACTTTGGATACCTACCAGTATGATACCTGTAGCCTTCTAGTTTTTTTACATTATCGCTTACGAAATATTTCATGCACTCAAATACCGGTTCGTATTTAATTAATCGGTAATTAAAAACGTAAAGCTTTAAAAACTTTAAAGTTCAATGACCGCTTCAGACAAAATCAAGAGTTAAAGGAAAAGTAAAAGAGGAATTCACTTAAGATGAGCATTTCGCATTTCCTTTATAGATAAAGATAATATCAGATTGGTGTAAATTTATTAACTGGACAGTGACTACGAGCTTTTGAATGTTATTTATTGATCTTTCATTGCAGTAAAATAAGGTACCTACTTGCCTGTAATCACTTCAATCTGGTCGTAACCCGATCGGCATCGTGATTGTCGTTTATCTTAATGACCCGAACGAAAGGTCAGTTTTTTATTGGCTTTTGGCGACGTGATTATTATCCTCTTTGGTTCTGAATTATGTCGTTACAAATTTTTGTTAATGTGAATATAATATGGGCTTTTATCGCGCTAATTATAGGAAAACACTTGAAGAATTTTAACGAAGAGTATTAATTGATTCCTGTTAAAGATTATCGTTAATAATTTACTCGAAGCGTAAAGAAAGATTTTCACGGTCTTGATGATGATTGTGCATTCATTACGAATATAAGTATTATGAGAGTACATTCATTTTAACAATAAAACTTAACGAATGTGAAAACTGAGCTCGATCATTTGCGCGTTCATGCCTACTCAATTGAAAGTTGTGCTTAATCTTAGAAAGTGATAATCATGTTTATAATTTCGTTATTCATGTTCATGCCATAGTGTCTAAGATACACAATTTAAAACAACTTGTTTAGGAAATGCCTATTTTCAATTCAAATGTTTCTGATTAAAGTTCCGAAGTTTTCGAATTGTGGAATTTAATTAGCAAACGTTTAGTTGTATTTTCTTGCAGGATAGTATAGTCTAGACGTTTTCCTAGATAGATATTTACGTTCAAACTGGTAAGTGAATCTTGTATTACCAGTGAAGTACCAACGCAGTGCTGCCAGTATTGACCACGGCTGTGGCGGCCACTTGCTCGCCTACTTTCTGTTTGGAAAACTCGTCTCTAACTAGGCTCCCGTCGTGGTCAGTGGTTGCACATTTCTTCACATCAGTTTCCTACATGGAATGGTATGGAAGTTGCCAGTTAAGGTACTTCATTAACACTGAGATTATAAAAACGACTAATGTTAGAATCAAATCCGATGTTATACTAGTAATAAACAGTGTAGCAGATATAGCTACCTATTATGATGTTTTTTGGATTTTACTAATAGTATTCGTGGAAAATTTTTTGACCTTTGGGTATCTGTCGATGCGAGCGAACTATGTGATTTTGAAAAAATGTTTTTAAATATTTATGAGAAGCGAAGCTTCACAATTGTTTTCATTTTATCATTGTTATTGTATTGTACTTGTTATGACAACCTGTAACGTAGCTAAGAAAATAAAACTTAATTTGAACTTTTAACTTATTGTATGTTTTTATGATACTATTGTTATTTCATTTCTTTTTTACCCGATTGTGTTACTCGAAAATTTGGAAGACACCGTAGAAAACAATATGCTCACCAAGTATAAAAACACAATACCTATTTGCAATTTCCTTAAATTACGTTTCGAATACAATTTGTATAATACTAGGTATTATCTTGTGAACTTTAATATCGTAATCATCAATGATAAATCTTTCCTGTTCCGAATTAATTAAAACTATAATGAATGGGCTTTGTAATAGTGCGGTGATGGAAAGTGCACCGTGTGAAATCGCGCGAAACTTGAGCTTTGACCTTCTTACTGCTCACCAGGCTATGCAGGAAAAACTATAGATACTTTCTTCAAAATAAAAAAGTATTCAATGCTAATTTCGCAAGACAAGTACGAAACCTAGAGACAAACTGCGTAACTCTGTTGCGATAGTACCGATACTACAAACATTTTCATTATCGCCGCAAAGACAAAGACTACGTAGCGGAACAAAGTGGTAGGCATCCACTGACGGATTGGTAAAGCACACAAACCATTTATTTATTTCTATTTAACCTTCCTGTTTAATTTGCATACGCTACTCTTGACCACTAATAAATAATTTATTTTGCAAACGCATTTTAGTTTGTCATCGTTCGTGGTTTTATCTCGCATACTGGAGTTCCAAGTATTTTTATTTTAACATATTTTTGAGATGGCTCTACAGTATGTCACTTTCTATTAAGACGTTAAGCTGCTTTTATTTCAAGTGTGTGTAGATAAAAATCAAGAATGGTCACAATTTTGTGCAACTCCACAATCTGATAACATTTAGTACTGTGCAAAGTATTCAAATATCAAGTGCCTCTCAAACTGAGAATAGTCAGCATACCAGTCGGTGGATCTCACCGTCCAACCTTGGGTTTCGCAATGCGCCTGCGTGTTTAGACCTAAATCAACTTGATTAATGATACAGAGTGCTTAGAAGTTAATTCATTAGAGACAGAAAAAAGCGTTTTCTATGTACGGTTATGGTGTACCCACCCATATCCATTCAATGAGGGCTATCGTTTTAGCGCTCACCAGTTAGCGCCACTGTAGAGTAAGGTCCTGTCACTTGCTAGTCGCGAAGACAGTGGCACCAACTTGTGAGCGCTAAAGTGGTAGGAGGACTATCGCATTTGCACTCATCAAGATGACGCCACTATAGAGTAAGGTCCTGTCAATCGCCAGGGGTGCCAACTGTTAAGTATAAAAACGATAGCCCTCATTACATTCCTCCTACTGTCACTAGGCGAGGCTTGTTATATTACGACTAGAGTAAACTAAGCAATATAATCACCAAACAATAGCAAGAGAGATTGAAAATACTTACTTATGCAGTGTTGTGGTATTACGTTTTGTTGTCAACGTTTACGAAGAGAGTATTGTTTTCGACGACACGACAACGACACCTTGCGAAATCGTGTCGTGCTTAAATGTTTTGACCATCAGCCAAAGAATGCGGCTGTATTCGCACAGACAGAATTTCTGTAGTTCTGTCATAAAGCCAGATGTTAATGGGTGTGCCTTTAGAAATGACTAATAAGGATAAACTTCTTGATTTGGAGATCAAAACTAGTAATTTGAATAGTTAATATCGCGGTGGCTTGACTAGTTACGTTAACAAAACCAATCTTAGCATAATATAGGCAATGTTTATGGGCGTTGTAGACGCGGATATTTGCTGTTTTATTACGTGAAATATTAACTTTACTGTTTTCAATAAAACTTAAATTATCCTAAATGAAACGTGAATGTGTCATTAAAAAATATAAGAAATCTTTACTGTTCACAATGTAGCATCTTATTGCATTATACAGTGTATGTACTAACTCATATGAAGGTATACTTATGCAAACGCGTATCCGGCTAAACACAATAAAATTAGTGCAAAGCATCTATAATGGGCATTCGTAAATTTTTCGCAACGCTAATGTCGAGATTCGCATTGTCCACAGTTGCGAGAGGACTTGCGTCAAGTAAATGCATATGACACAGTGTGTTGCAAGCTCCATGTTTTAAACGTCAACACTTAAATTTAATCACACTGGTTGCAGATCTACATAGTTTAATACCATTTACGATTTATTATGCCGTAGCAAGGGCTACGAAACCGTAGCAAAAGTACTACGATTGATAACTACGACATTTTGTAACTACACACTCATTTCGTAGCATGTACTTACGAGTATGCAGGTTACTTATTACTCGTAGCGCAGTGTGACATTTTACGTATTTTTAAAATTCTTCGTTCATATTTAAGCCTCTTGGTATTTGCATTATAGCTATTGGTGTACATATTTACAGGTGGTAAACTTTTTAAATTTTAATAGACCTTTACACTTTGTACCTACGTGCCATGCTTACTGTGTGTTACTTGACGATCGATTGATGTATGCTAAAATAAAGTGTGTGGTTTTATGAAACGTTAATAATAATTATTAATTAATATTCTCCAGCTAGTTAAGACAATATTAGATATACTCATCAGTTACAATAGTTCCAAATCTCATTTTTTTTGTCTTGTTACATAATAGGCTTTAAGCTTGATGTCATCATTCTATGGGTCAACGTACAGAATGGTACAAGTTTTATTATGTAGAAAAAAGTTTCGTTGTCAACTGGTTTGGTTTTCTTATTAATAGATTGTTTTTCTCGTCGTTGCTAGGCACAACCAAACGATACTCAAGTAAAATTTTATCCTCAAGGCTGTTGGAGTTTTAACTCTAGAATGTTGTAGAATGACGAATGGCATTAAGCTCGCCTTTTTGTACAGAACATTATTGTGTGTGCAATAGTCTTTAAATAAAAATAATAAAAAATGTTTATAACTTTCGATTTTGATTTTCCTCATCATTTTGCTGCCAATAAGTTATGTTAATCTGAATATGTGTTCTTGTTTTACAATATTCAAAGGCTGGATCCCAACTCGACTGTAGTCCGTCTGCTTAACAGGAGCTGGAGAAAAACACGAACCAGGCGGAACTGAACACCATAGCTACATACTACTTCGACGGGCAGGGCAAGGCGCTCAGGCCCATGGTGGCGATACTTATGGCGCGGGCCGTCAACTACCACGTCTACGGTGAAAATAGGTAAGAGTTTATCAATTAATATCCTTGACATCCCATTATCTGTCTCAAATTAAGCAGCTTGTACTATGGGTACCGGACAATGGATACGAACAAACTGAGGTGCAATTGTGTAAAGCAATCGTAATCATTTGACAGTTCATAACGTACGATTATTCTGTCAAACGCTTTGTTTATCTGACATAATCGTACGTTATGAACTGTCAAATGATTACGATTGCTTTACACAATTCCACCTCTGAAACATATAAATATGTGCATTGTGCATAGATATTATACATAGAAAACCAGACTCACACAATAAGTTCATGCTATTGCACACCAATTATTGTTGTGTGCAGCGATCGAACCCGCGACCTCTGGCATTTTAGCATGGTACGCGTTCCACTATGCCGAGTGGTCGACAAGAATTCAGTAATTTATAAAGATCATACCTTTTTCGTACAGTGATTTCGTCGCCCCTAATAATATTACCTCGTCTCTCATTTTACTCAGCGGGTGGTCTCAATTTTCTTTATAATTATTTCATTAATTAAATTGACCTACACTCCTATACATAGAATAATGCTCATATTTTTTATCAAATCTAGAAGTCATCACCTAAAATAAAACCTTGACAAGGACACCTGTATTAATAAAATATAATTTTGATATCTTTATACCCGTTTGGAAATTCCAATTGAAATCTGGTTTCCTTCCTACACAAGAATTGTATAATATATAATATTCGTATTATATAAATACTAGTGTGAAGTCAAAGGTCGTTAAATATTATAAATTCAATCTGTGCGGAAAATAACCTGTCATCCATATATCACATTCGATTCGTCCTAGCGATAAATGCGAGGTCATTGTACCTAAAAAGTTAAACCGATCAAAGACATTATATTTCAAGTGCGATTCTGTATTTTGTTCCAGTACATCTTCACAGATCCATGTAGTCTTTCGGTTTCTACTTTTATTACTTAGTGGCGTGGACATAGCTTAGTAGTCGTCTAGATTAACACAGACCTTTTATTTTAAAAATAAATAAATATCCTTGGACATTTTACACTACGCCGCTAGCCCCAAACTAAGCACAGGCACAGCTTGTACTATATTTTTTTTTGTAAATACATACATATTATATACATAGAAAACACCCAGACCCGTCACAGAAATTAAAATTCATCATTTCGATTTCTGCCCGGCCGGGAATCGAACCCGGGACCTCTCGGCATAGTAGTCAGTTCTGAACCACTACACCAAACGGCCGGCTTATTTAAGTATATGGACCTGCATTCAGTAGAGTTCTCATACATAAAGCTGTAAATTAAATTTTACTTTTCCCGACACTGAGATACTGACACAAATTCTATAGCTTTATTATTGTTCACAAAAGACTAATACAGGTTGACTTTTTTTTTTGGAAAATCCCAACTAGGTGTGAAGATGATCTAACTCATATATCGCTAAGTGACTAATGAAATGACACAATGTAATGAATTGAAAAAATATGAATTTCATTAAAAAAACTGTACCAAACTAGTTTCTCCTCAAAAACTGATCGCCGGGGTCATACTGATTTCTGTAACGTTATTAGGAACAAGGTCATATTGAATATTTGACCTTTAATACACATATAATTGAAAAAAATGATTACAGCAATGTCCGTCGTAACTTCTACTTCTAGTTCGTTCAAAACCCGTTATGTATAAACCGTATGTAAATTAGCTGTAAATAGTGTAGGGCTTGCAAATTGAGAGACCGCCCACACTGACAGCTTACATTGTTAAAATTTTAACTAGATAAGTATCTGGAAATAAAAAAAAAAACTACTTGAGTTTAAAATACTGTACGTGACCTCACGAGAACGTGCGTAATACAATAGAACTCAGTATATCCTATTTATTATACCTAATATGAATTTATGTAATGCATACATCCAGCTGATGATACTCGTACCCGGTAGTCATAGTAAAACTGCGCATTATACAAAGGCCTTAAAATTTTACTTATCATTATAATATTTTACCATGAATTTAAACGTCATCCAATAAATATTTAAACTAACTTCCGAGTGTGAAGGTGATTTTTGCATATAATTACTTCCTATTTCAAAAAGAAATAAAAACAAAACTCTAATTTATAGAAGTCTAGTCGTGTATAATCGCCGAGTTATTTGTAATGAAGACAGTTCGCGGCAAACTTGTTTTAGCATTAATAGCCAGCCAGCGTATATTAGTTAACACGCGGCGGCTGCTTGCCCAACTGTTTTGATTTAGCAATATGATTGCGGTCAACATAGTTCAATGTCTAGCTGAGCATTCTTCGACTATTGCGTTTTTCTATATTTTTACAATTTCTCAATGGACAACTTAGTGTGTGCATCTTCATTATTATCACCTTAAATCGATATTAACCACTTGTTTGAGCGTAAGCTTGTGCCACGGAAAAAAGAAAATTTCTTATTTCAAGTTATTCGATTTACTCAAATCAGGTTTTTTTTGCTTTGGTGTCATGAACCCATCTGCAGGTGACATAAGTCTTACGCTCATTAGCTGAGGCTTTTGTCCCACCTGCCGTCAACTTGTCTGGCTATATTACCCACGCTAATAATAATATATTGGCGTTTCTCTGCCAGATATGACCTTCTTTTGCACATAGCCTTCAGAAAGTCGAGGTTTTGCGGCATACTTCAAAGGTTTTCATTAGATATCCAACTAACGATATTAAATCCATCTATTTTCAGGGTCTCTACATTAATATTAATGTTCATTATTTATTAATAAATTCATACTAAAAGAAGTCAAGATCCTGAAAGGTTTAAGTTTAAAGACATTTACTTTTTCTCACGCCTATCCTGCGGTGATTCACGAGACTTTTTCCTTATACATCCTTAAAATAGCCTGGGATTCCTCTAGACTATTGTAAAAACCCTATTGCTCCCGATAAGTACAATTGTATAATCAGCGTTTTTATTTCAATACATGAATAGCAAATTGTCCATTGAAGAGTACGTGCACGCACTCCCTGTGATTCGCCGCTGACTGCTCTTTACATGCTGAGAATATTTAAAGTACTGGTAGATGCGATAAGTGCGTTACGATATTACTGCTGCGAACAGAATTATTTATAAATGAGCGAAATCCTTCATGCATACTAAAAATATCCTTGGAAAAAAACACTCATTTATAGCCATCATAAAACAAATTACTTAACTGCCGCTTTTACGTCTTGACTGCCGCTTTTTAAGCGGTATATTTAGCGTTATCATTTATTGGTTTTCTATTTTTACTAATTTACGTAACTAGCTACTTAAAAACTGACTTATTGTAGTTCAATGGATATTGATAAGTCTGTGTACGTTTGTACAGTCGCGGAATGAAAAGGTTCGTCAGTTTTCAAATTGATTCCTTCAACGAATCGCGAGCACATATTATTACCTTTTGAAACTATGTTACAGAATAATCTCGAGTTAGACAATATAATCTTTAACTATTAGTCAGTAAAGTTCAAAATTATTCAGATTAAAGTTGTTTGACATTTATTTTGTCAAGAAGATTATTATGATTGAACTAAAACCTTCTTGTTGGTTCAACCTGCCATTATTATTTCTATTAAAAAAAATAAATACATTTTGTAACATTGCACTGATGGGACAGAAAAATAAGCAAAACATTCTTTGTTAGCAAACGTCACATTTATTTAAATGTTAGCAGCACTGTTTCTTGCACTGTTATGTTGGCAGGTTTGACTCTTACAGTACCTAGTGCAAGCGAAAACCGACACTAAGGTGACGAACCTTTTCATTCCGCGACTGTACATTGTACTCCAGTTTGATTACATGCAATTTTTATCATCATGTAACGACCCGCAAAGGCAGCTGTTTATGTGCAGTTAGTTACATGAGCGAATGTTATAGCACTTCGCCTATCCGACCTGATCCACCTGTGTGTACAGTCCTATCAACTTAAGCTGAGAATTGCATTTGTGTGAGTGATCGCCAAAAGTACCGTTAGTAAAACACATACAAATAAAATTAATGTTTTATTAAAAGGAAGTCTATAAAACACTTGCTACCAATTGGGCCGATGTAACGACACTTGACACATCCTTTTAAATAAATAAATAAATAAAAACAGGTCCTCGCTCAGCATATGCCAAGGCACGAAGTACCTCGACGCTGATATTCTGCGAGCACCGTTTATAGAGAGGGCGTCTAGCCANAAATAAAATTAATGTTTTATTAAAAGGAAGTCTATAAAACACTTGCTACCAATTGGGCCGATGTAACGACACTTGACACATCCTTTTAAATAAATAAATAAATAAAAACAGGTCCTCGCTCAGCATATGCCAAGGCACGAAGTACCTCGACGCTGATATTCTGCGAGCACCGTTTATAGAGAGGGCGTCCAGCCAGCCTTACAAAATACAACAAAAAGACAAACTTTATAAAATTACAAAATAAAAACAGACTAAAAACTTTTCGTTCACACCTTTAAAATACGTATTCAATTTGCATAAAATTTCTTTCACTTGGCTGCTTAATGGATTTCGTACAGGAAATTCACTTACAGTAGGAGCCATTTCACTAATATTTGGAACACAATTATATAAAATTACACGTATCTGCTACCAGTACCGGGGGTGAAGTGAAGTATGTGAGCGACAAGGAAGCGGTGCGTGGCGGACGCGCCGCGCTTCAGGCCGCTTGCTATAATAAACCAAGCGCGGGACGCGCCGCGCTTCAAGCCGATTGCCACTCTAAACTATCGGTGTGCACTCACACAAATGCAATTCTCAGCTTAAGTTGAGAGGACTGTACCATCACGCCTTATGTGAAGATTACAACTGGTAATCTTTATTTTAGCGGTAACTTCAAACAAAAACATCTAAAAATCTTGCCTTTAAAGGCGGATCTTCACTTTACTTATTTTTATACATGAACTGGCTCATTCGAGCAATGTTCCAATTGTGTTGCACGGATTTGTGTGATCTTTAAGTTGTACCCTGTGTGTAACTGTGTCTTAGAAATGGAAATCGAACCCAAAATCTTTGGATTGAGATATTCAAACTCTCTATCCATTAGAATCTAATCTAATGACTAGATTATAGAGGCGATTGTTACAGGAGATCCTTAATTAATAAGGGTTTTACTAATCTCCTAAAATTTGTTGTAACTTGACATTGGAGAAACCAAGTCGAAGGAGACGTTAGTGCAGTACAAATAATATTGTATAGTTACAAATACTGCATAATGCAACTGTTTGACTGGTTACCTATTATGCATACCCACAGCTTTTTAGTTGGTTAAACCAGTTAATGACAGCATGTCTATAGCGCAGTTTATTGATAACGGTGTTTTTATCTTGCATTGCCAACGAACCTAATATTAGATAAGTAACAGTTAAATGATAAGCACGTTTAATATTTGTATTGCTAATCGTTGGCCCTGCCGTTTGTTGGGTGCGAGTGTGATGTTAGATAATATATCAAGGACTGATTATTGAGATAAAATGGATTGCCAAATTCAAATTGAATGTTTAAAGATCTTACTTTAAATATGTGTGTAATGGTTTTGGTTTTGTGGAATCCGTTCCAAAGTAGATCTCTGGGCCACAGGAAGGAGTGGCAACGGATCTTATGAAATCACACAACTGGCTGCCAGGTGTGCAGGCTAGTCACTAACGTGTCGCTATCATGTGATAGCGCTACCGACTGGCATACTTTTTTGAAAAATATTTTTATTTATTTTTTGTTTGTAAACACCAGCTTATGGCATCGCATAATTCTACGCTGCCTATAGTATTTTACTTGTTGCCAAACAGTGTAGTACGAGTAGTCAGAAAGTGCAATGATAATTTAAGTTCGATAACTTTTTTTCCATGTCGAATTATCAGGTACAGATAAAATCGACGATTATTTACGCATTGGATGATTCTTCCATTGACTTACGTAATACTTCATCATCATCATCATCATTTCAGTCATAGGACGTCCACTGCTGAACATAGGCCTCCCCAAATGGTTTCCACGTTGATCGATTGGTAGCGGCCTGCGTCCACCGCTTCCCTGCTACCTTTACGATGTCGTCGGTCCACCCTGTAGGTGGACGTCGCACGCTGCGTTTTCCGGTACGCGGCCTCCATTCCAGAACCTTGCTGCCCCGTAATACTTGCTACATGCTAATAATCCTCTCTCTACATATACAGAGCCCAAAGTACGTTTATCGGACGGTGCTAGGTGTACTTAGTACGTCATTATATCCAGTCTAAAATGATTGATTACAATATTGTTGAAACTATACCAATATTATAAAGAGGTCAATCACAAATTGACAAAATCCGCTGCCATTATTATTTTCAGCTTTAAATCATGGTCACATAAGCTTTAAATCTGCCTTCATATCTACTTTGTTATCTTTTATAGCGTGTTTCTGTTTGCACAGTGCACTGCTGCCGTCCCAGCGGCAGGTGGCGATGATCAGCGAGATGATCCACTCGGCGTCACTGATCCACGATGACGTCATCGACCAGAGTGACTTCCGCCGCGGAAAGCCCTCTGTCAACGTGCTCTGGAACCACAAAAAGGTAATGTGTTATTTTTAAACTTTAAACAACCAAAAGTAAACGGTATTGCAGAATTTTAGGTTTCTATTTCTACAGGGTGTTAGGTAAATGAGTATATGAGCCGACACTAGCCATTAACATGGTCATATAAATGGTATGGTGAAGTCAGAAAATTGATATCTTCATTTTAATTATTTTAATTTTCATACAAATCGGATTTTATAAAATTTATTTTGTACGAAAATTAAAAATATTAAAATGATGATATCAAATTTCTGACTTCACCATGCCATTTATATGACCATGTTAACATGGGCTTGTAATGTCGGCTCATATACCCATTTACCTAACACCCTGTATATATCCGTCCTGTTTTTGAAATTAATAATAATGCTAATGTTTTTAAAAATACTACAATAAATAAAGTTTATAAGCCATTAGTTTCCTATTCAAGAAAATATTGAGAGAAAAGATAATTTAATTTATCAATTATAATTTTATCTCACCAATTTCTATTTTTAATTAGCACTAGATTACTTGGCAATAAAAATAACAAATGGCTATTCCACTTAGTCATTCCTAGTTATAAACTACGGATTTGAAAACACGGAAAATACAACGTGCTAATCATATTATTAGAACCACACTCGATTTCAAAGGTAACATTGTTGAATGACTCACTAACTTAACGTAGAATAATACATTAACTTTATTACTTATTTCAATATTACGCAAGCCATTTGAATCAGCCTATTTAGGAATAGACTCGTTAGGCGACGCTAATTTTTCTATTTGAGATTCAATTATTACAAAAATGGATATGTTTTTTACTGTCACATTATTCGAGAAACGTATCCGTAAAAACAAAAAATTGAAGTTATCGTACGTATGTTGAACATTAATATAAAAGCTCTATTTAACACATGCAAAGTTTATGAACAAGTGATGTAAATTTTTGTATACGTAGTATAAGCACGTGGGCTCAAGTGTATAATACATTTATTGTGATTCTACAGTCGCTAGCTCATAGAATATGAATATAAGGGCTCAGTTGTATTGATTGATTATATCATCGCTGACATATTCGATGTAAGTATGTGCTTGCATCCCATGCAGTTTAAACATGCAAATAATCGAATAAGCGTTCACTTTTCGTTTTGCATAAAGTAGTAATTTATGCACGTTATTTTATAAAATCAGCATTTCAAAAACGATGAAATATTATGTCTTTTTGAAATTCATTTTTTTTTTCACTATTTTGCAAATAATCAAAAAACCAGATCTAACAAATTACACAACTCTATAAAATGCTAGACTGAGAAAATAAACAGATGGGTATTTCCCGGTATAGATTATGTAACTTAAAGTTCCGTACTTTTAAGATAAGTTTTGTTGTAAGAGGATATTTGTCTTAGATGATACATATTTTAAAATGGATGGAACTGTGTCGACATACTTATAAGTCGTACAGGTGTTAGAGATGGTCGTTAAAAGTGATTAATAACACAGATAACCATTAAAGCAGTTCATTTATTATGCTATTAAAACTATTTGCAAATGTGTAACTAATTTGTTAAATAATAACGTTCTTCTTGCGGTAGGTACAGCCCAACATCGACATTACTGTTGAGACACTTCAGTTGGCACATACTTACACTCAACCGGTCGAACCTGTCAAATTCTATAGTCTATCCATATTAAATTTCAAGGCTACCGATATAGTGTTAATCCGGATTACAATAATACCATCTCCATTAAGAAATTCCGGTCGTACCATGATTTGAATAAATAACTGGCATGTTTGAGCGCGACACACTTGTTGGAAGTCGTTCGATATTCGAAACTCGTGTGTCCTTTTTATTTCTTTTTCGATGTCATCTCATTGGGCAGACAGAGACGTCCCATTGCTAGATTTATGCTGACTTTGAGCTGAGGCTGATAAAATTCTAGCCATGTATAGTTTGACAGCGACAGTTTTCCCGTCTACTATTTCCAGTTGGTAAAAATTACTCAACGTGATTTCCTAATCGAATCATTAAAACATTTTAATCTTAATAGCTCCCAAGTCTGTTCAGAAAAGTGGATATTATTTATGTTGTCGTTTCATTCATGCTGCTTCTAAATATGACCGTTCTATTTCTCCTTGTGAACAGACGGCTCATTGCTGGAATAACCCGAATAAATTTAATTATGCTTCTAGCGTCGCGTCGCGTCATGTCTAGAATGAAAAATGTCAGCTTATTACTTATAAACTTTATATTCCTAAAGGTTGTCTGTTGCTAAGCTGGCTACTGTATAGATATTATGTATGATTCATTATTTATACCGATATGAATGATGTTATAGTTTCTCAATAGTCAATTTAAATCAGTATAGATAGGTTTAGTTCTAAAATCTTCGATTTCATGTTGCATGCCGGTGTGCTGAACTTCAAAAGTAGAGCAAAATACACCATTGGCATAATTGAAAAAGACCTACAATAAAAGACGATTAAAGTAAAAAAGCAATTACATTTTCAATTGTGTTTGCGGGTCTGCGGCGGATGTGGGAAATGTAGGTTAAGATCACGCCATTCAGCTCGTGCCTCAATGAAACGCGCCAGCTCTCGAGCTAATCGTGGAATTGTTACGATTTCTCACCGACACTACGACAAGACTACAAGATTAAACCTATTTTATTTCCATTAACACAAGTGGTGTACCTGTTGCCTTGTATAGTGCGTCCTCGTGTATTTATTCAACAATCAATCATCAAGTTGGAATCTGAATAATTTATGTTCATTTGTACTGCGCCGAGCAGACGCTTTAACCAGCTTTTCTCACCGCGAGAGCAAGTTGTTTTATTTGCCTGAAAATCAAGAAGCAAAGCAGTTTAAAATATTCCGCCGTTAAATCATTGGTTTAACAATATTAGTCGAACCTTAAGCGCGCACGCACTATTTACCCATTTGTAGAATAAATATTGATACGCGGAGCTCTGCTAGCATATTCAATTTCGCTTTCATCTTCCATAGAAAGCTATTTTTGCTATGTTGCTGACCTCCTTGCCGGTATCACTTTTACTTGCGTGATGACGACAGTAAATGACTCAAGAATTTGGCGTATCACGAATTCTTTTACTGACGAAAAATGCTGATTATTTCTTTTTATTTATAATCTGATAATGAATAAACGAATTTTTTATTAATTTAACAGTCATTTGCTTGACTTCTTACCAGACCCGTTAACTTTGTAAAAAGGAAAAGAGTCATCAAATGGGTCATCGAGTCAGGTTCAGGTTGTTGCCCTAACTCGAAAAAGAGTAAATATAATCTGTGGTAAGTAGTGCGTAGCGTCATCGCTTCGTTGGCGGGGTTACTACCACGTATTGTGGGCAGGCGATCATTCCTTTCTCTCGCCAGCCGAAGAAGCGAGACAGCGGCGGCCGGTGTTTACGATACATACGTAGTAGTGGAGAGTGCTGGCGAGTCTGAGACGCGCCTCACATACCCGCGAGAGGCCGAAAGCTGGGCGACCCTAGGTGAAAGTGCCGCCCCGCCTCACACCCAACAAATTTTTGATATCAACTTGTTTTAGTCCGGTACATGACTGTGTAACCCATAAAATGTATATCAGGCGTGTTTAATTAGCTTTAAGTAGCCGTGTTAAACTCGTGCTTTTTCAAATGTGAAAAGCAATGTCGATTGGTTGGCAAAAATAAATACGTACACTGTTATGAGTTTCTGAAGTAGAACGCAAGGTGTCGTCCCTACTAGGTGCGACGAGCCATGTAAACAAGCTAGGTACGAGTAACATTTGAGACACGATCATTGTGTAATGGATCCTCTAAATGAATATGTTTGCTATATACATTATGGCTATTAGTTTGGTCAAGGCGTTATTCGTCAGTATTGTCATATCTCGTAACACTACACTATGCCCATGAGTTTACAAACGTTCTTGTTTCATTGAAATATTGCAAAGTGTTGAGTTGGCGATAACAGAATAAATAAATGTTGGTAAAAATGCTTTGTCATCATGGTTTAAACAATACAAAGGGTTTTATCGTCATAGAGTTTATTATAGCGACTAGTAAGCCTGACGCGTTTCGTCCTTCGCGTATAAAATGCCTATGTGCTGCAATAACATCTTCCGGCAATGCGTTGTGATCTCAAGTTTGGAACGCCGCGTGAATCAACAACGCGGATTGTGGGCACACTTTAACGCTCGACTCTTAGCTTAGGAGCCTAGAGGCTAGTGGCAGCTTCAATGTTGTGCAATTTGGCTCATGGTTGACCTTTGACTTGAATGTATTAAAATAAAATTATCTATTTGCCCGCGAGCTCGAGTTATCAAAAGAATCCGATTAAAGCCATCATCATAGACAGACTTTAACATTGAGTTAAAATATAGAGTCACTCTCAACTTTTTATTTTCGACTGATTGTTGTGGATTAACACTCGTGAACGGTGCCTTTAGTTCATTTAGCGTCTAGTGAACATGCTTCAAGGCTGTCACTATCCTGGATGTACATATGCTTTGCATTTTCTCATTACGGATGTTGAATCTTTGGAATGTGGCGGCGTCGAAACGTCAACACTGAACTATGTCCGCCCGACCGTATTTGAATTGTGTCTTTCAAACATGCCAAATGTTGATTTTATTTGTTAAGGCGATTTTCTTACTGCCATAATTAGCTCTATGTACACTATATTGTATCTCACGGAGCCAGCCTCTAGGCGCGTCTGTTTAACTTTAACACATCACGTGCGTGTGTGGATCTTACTTTATTTACTCGTTACGTAATTAAGGTAATTAATAATTGACTCTGATTAACATTCATAAGTCATAAGGCTAAGTACAAACTTAAAATTAATAATTAATGCTTTTAAAGCAGGATCATATGCAAACGCAGATACTTAACCAATGTTGACGTAAAGAAGTTCATTGTGTTAATAGGTCGTCAACCTCTGTGATGCGTTTGAATGTTCGTTCTAAATTAAAGGTGCGTTTGCTTTAGTTATCGGCACAATAGGCAAGGTT